ATATAAATTAGAACATAAATAAAAAAATAATTACAGTATAGTAATAATGTAAAATATCAAATGAAGTCTCAATAAATCTCAATTTCACTGTAAAAAATGATTTTCATGATTTGTAATCGCAACATTTTTTTCTTTTGTCAAATCAACTTAAACAATTTATGTAGTTCAGATAACATAATATTTTGAGTTTCTGATGATTAAATCAATCTCCTTCATTGTATTAACTTGTATCACATTTCAATGAAATTAAGGCAACCAGGTTACTTCATTTTTTAAGTTAAACCAACAATATTTTTTTACAGTAAACTCTATGTTAAATCGTCTTTTCCGCCTGTATATCAAATGTCATTAAAAATATTTTTCTTGAAACCATTCAGTTGAAAAGCAACAGTTATCAGTATGAAATAAACCAAACAAATGGGCATGCCTGAGGGAAATGAATTGCAGTGTCAATTGCAAATCTTGGAGATTTTGTGGTATTAGAGAAATGTCCTGTGAACAAAATGATGAGGGAAAAGCTCGGACTGTCATTTTAAATAAAGATTAAAATGTGCATACAGAAAAATGATTCACTTAATCTAGCCAGGCAATCATCTGCACCTTTTAAGCATGCAAACAGATGAGGTGAAATGGACAGTGAGGGGGGGAAACAGAGAATTTAGGTTAATTGGAAGACATAATCCCCAACAGACAAGGTGCTTGGGCCTTTGGATTAAGGAGCTCTCTCATAGTCTCTAATGGAAACTCTACTTGCCATATGGCTGTCTGAGATACAGGGACATCTAAACCCGGCTGAACAGGCAATTATGTTATCTTGAATTGTGATTTATAATAAAAACATGTCACTGACTCTACAATTGCTTGAGACATTAACATTAAATGTACAGATGAGTTTAAGGCAAACAGAGCCATAGTGTCATGAGCCTTAGGAATGGATCAAGTACATGACAATCACTGCTAAACGTCAAATAGGACAAGCAACTTGAAAAGAAAACGGACGGTCAACACATTGGAAATACAGAATCACTTTGTTCATAAGCCTTGAGTTTCGTCTCTGAAACTCCCTGCCTTTCCAAATGCTTTTTAAAAAAACTGTTTGGGGATTTTACATTTGGATGAGAATATTACAAGTTTTCCACATGCAGTATGTGGCAATCTTGAATGATTTGAGCTCACCAAATTGATAAACACACATCAGGTTTTTTTACATAAAACACCGATTTTATTTAAAGTGCCATTCTTTCAAACAGTAAGTCGCTTAGTCATCAGCTTAGTGACTATTCACAGAACTCCACCACAGCTGTTCAAGTGCCATTTTAAGGCCCGGGTTAAACAAGAAGTCAGTCCTGTGGCCTTTGGTTAATCTTACTCTTGCCATAAACAGTGCCGGCAGCCTCTGGAGAATCCAGAAAGCAAATACAAATCTCTAGTGTGTTTCATCTTTAGAGACGAATCCAAGATCAACATTCTCAATGCTGCATATTAAGTCACATCCGTGTACTTATACATTTGAAATTGACGCACTAATGCTGCACTGCTAAACAGTGCAATCATTTTATGTTTATTATCCCTCACTCAGCTGCATATTATCAGTAACTCAACTGCATAATTTAAAGTTTATATATAAATGTTATTGTTGCCAGTCAAGTGTTGTTGATTGATTGTTGTTTTAGTGTGTTTTAATAAGTGTCAAATAATCATGCATAAGGCTTGAAAAGGCTTGTCTTGTCTTGAAAATTAAGCATGGCTCATTGAAGTCTCTTTTACACTCGGCATGTTGCAAACCTGGAAAAACCTGTTCATGTGTTCGCACAGAGGGTTATCTACGGTCAATGCCTGTTCTCCTTCTGAGAATATGGTATAAGATTTTCTTATTACCTTTGCTCATATCTAAACAAATAGGCCTACCCTAGTGTTAATTTCGTTAACGAAAACTAAACGAAAATATTTTCGTCAACGCACATTTTTCACCGAACGAAAACTAGACGAGACGAGACTAAAATCCCCACTAATAAACAATAACTGGGACTAAATCAGAAATAATTTTCGTAGACTAATAAAGACGAGACGAAAATGCAGTTCGGTAAATAAAGACTGGGCTAAAATCTATGGACATTTTAGTTCACGAACAAAGACGAGACGAAAATTACATATTATTATATGATATGGTTTTGTCAAATCCTGTCTCCTCCTCCGCCTCCTCCTCGTCAGCTCTTCCGCCACACACACCCCCGTTCAAACCTGGAGCGGGCGGGCACAGTCAGAGTAGCCTACACAACACATGGAGCAGACAGGAGCTGGATTCACGGTGAGGCGGCGGCGACAGGTTAAAAGTAAAACATGCTTTGCACGGGGCTCGGGAGAAAGAAGAGACGTGATATATGGACACATTTTGTTACAATGATAAACTAACTAATGATGGCTAACTTTCATAGCATTTAGTATCCAGGCTGGCTATGTTGCGTTAGCTTCTTAGCACGTAGCGACCGTAGCCACTTGTTGATAGAATTGTATGTGAAGTTAAATTTATGCTAACTTAGATATGTTATACTGGCAATCTAGCAATCTATGCCTTGTTTCACCTTAAATACTGTACCTTTATATACCATGTGAACTAGCTGGCAGGAAAGCACTTTTGTTGTATCAGTTGGAGTTTTTTTTTTTTTTCACAACATTGACCTCAAATCTATTTATTTTATTATTCTATGTGAACTAGCTTTAAACAGCCAGCACTTGTGTTAAGTTCATAATACACTTTATTTTATTTATTTGTTTCCTTTGTCAGGTGTATTTTATTTGTTTTAATGCAAGCATTTGTGTTTGTGTCTTTGAACCTTAACAATGTTCAAAATAAATATGCAAATATTGTCAGAACATCTTCCATGTCTGCATGTGTTCCTTAAAATTGTGTTTTTTTATCAAAAAGATGAGAGAAAATGTTGAAATGTGAAATAATTTTAGGAAATGTTAAATATTATCTGCTGACAAAAAAGTAAAAGGTTAAAATGATGTCCTGACTAAAACTAGACTAAAATGTTGACAGTTTTTTTTTTTGACTAAAACTAAACAAATAAAATTATGTTTTCTTGGACTAAAATAAAGACTAAAATGCTTGACTTATAGTCGACTAAAACTAGACTAAATAAAAATGGGATGATGTCGACTAAATGTGATAAAAACTAACAAGCGATGCTGAAACTGGACTAAAACTGAAACTAAATTTAAAAATGGCTGGTAAAATTAACACTAGCCTACCCATTTGAATTTTGTTCTGCTAATATAAGTAAAATTGCATAAGAACGATATCGACTCTACCATTTAAAAGTTTGGGGTCAGTAATTTTTTTTTTTATTATTCAACAAGATTGCATTTAATTTATAAAAAGTGATAAAACATACAGTGTAACGGATTTTTGTAATTTGAACAGTATTTTACTGTAATATGTACACTATAATACTGTTAAATGTGTCAACAGTTTAATACTGTAAATAGCCAAGGATTATAGGAAAATACGTGTTTACTACTTTAATTATTTTCTACACGGTAATGGATTTTTGTAATTTGAACAGTATTTTAATGTAATATGTACAGCATAATACTGATAAATGTGCCTACAGTATAATACTGTAAATAACCTAGGATTATGGGAAAATATGTGTTTACTACTGTAATTATTTTCTACTGTAAATCGTAAAAAAAATCGAATTATGTCATAGATAAATAAAAATACAGTAGTTAAATGAATACAACATACAGTATTATTCCTGTAAATTAAAATATGGTATTTGTAATGTAAAGGAAAAATACAGTACTCTTACTGTAAATATTAATACAGTTTACAATTGTATAACTGTAAATTAAATTACAGTACTGATACTGTAAACACTTTTACAGTAACTTACTGGCATCAAGCTGCCAGTAAGTTACTGTAAAATTTACAGCAACCTTTTTACAATTGCTTTCCTATTACATAATTCGATTTATTTTTACGTAATTTATTTTTAACATATTGTAAATCGTAAAAATAAATCGAATTATGTAATAGGAAAGCAATTCTAATACTGTAAATAAAAATACAGTATACATATAAAAATACATGAATACAATAAACAGTAATATTCCTGTAAATTAAAATATGGTACTTGTACTGTAAATGAAAAATGCAGTACTCATGCTGTAAATATTAATACAGTATATGATTGTATTACTATAAATTAAATTATAGTACTGATACTGTAAACACTTTTTAGCATTTAGCTGCCAGTAAGTTACTGTAAAATTTACAGCAGCCTTTTTACAGTTAAATCCTGTTCTTTTGCACTTTCTACGCAACTTTCTATGAACTTTCTTTCTAATGTATCATGGTTTCCCCAAAAATATTAAATCAATACACTTATTTTCAAAATTTACAATTAAAAGAACATTTTCTTAAACCGCAAATCAGCAAATTATATTGATTTCTAAAGGATCATGTGACACTGAAGACTGGAGTAATGATGCTGGAAAAGTTCAGCTTTGCATCGCAGGTATAAATTACATTTTAAAATGGATATAGTAACCAGTTAGGCTATTTTAAACTCTATATCACAATATTTTGCTCGAATAAATGCAGCAGAGAGCTCTTTTTAATAAAACCTAAAGTTTTGAAAGGTAGCGTATCTATATTGGAAGAATATGTATCTTTATACAGTATTTATTAGGAAATATGTTTATATTGCAACATATTGTAAGTAAAAACAACCACAATAGCAAACAGTCCCTGAAGTCCTCTTATTGGCGGACGCATTCATGGAAACAGTATTATGGGACGACGTGATGAAGTCATTAAGAAGCTTACAGACGTTGGGGCAGATTAGATTTTGCTCTTCTAATCCAACAGATTATCACTGCGCACAACTCTACTGACCAGGCTTTACGTTTCAACACAATTCTCATGCATTGATCATTTCTTGCATCCTTCGATACAAACAAATCAACAAATTCACTGCAAAACACAACAACAAGGACCATTTTACGAGATCTGCAGGAAATGGACTGGCCACAGATGGGATTTATTCCATGCAGCGATGCATTTCCATGGTAATTCTATTATCCATGTGGACGTGGCACTTTAGAAAATACTACGCGCTGTCACTAATGGATTGGCTTGGCAGTTGAATAGCAGCGACATTAAACCTGGCGTGTGACCTGTGCTAGAAAGACATTCAGAACTTTTGGGAAGAGATAAATGGTATCCATTGCACCGTGTGGGGACATGGAACCAGAAGCTGGAGAACTGGAGGAGACAACTTTGGAGCCTGAAATGTTTGTAAAATCAGTTGGGGACAAAGAGAAGATGGATCTCTTGCAGGTGCTCCAAGAACCAATCATGGAGCTGCAGAGAATGAATATCACAGGAAAGGAGGATGAAGAAGGAAGTGAGAGGAAAGATGAAATGGAAAATGAAGAGGTAGAAGAAATGAAGTGTGCTGAAAACTTGAACAACATGCCCACAGATGCTAACGACTCCATCAGCGACCCAACCAATGAGCCCATTCCCTCAAATACTCCCATCAGCCCACCTGAGACCAATGAATCAGACGCAGAGGACAGGAGAACACTGACAAAGACTCCCAGCTTTGGGAAATCAGTTCGGTTTAAGGACATTGAAGCAGTGGAAGAAAGGGACAGCTCAGAAGACTCTCTTTTTCCAGAGTTTGACAATGAAGAGTGGACGAGCGCCAGCTTTGAGGAGTTGTTTCTGGCAGACGACTGGGTGGATGTTACAGGTATGTGCATGATGACATATTTGTATAGTCTGAAACAAATAAAACACTATAGCCATCGAATTTGTTATCAGGAAATCATTGAAAACGCCCTGTATCTGCATCTTTGCTAAACGCCTAAAAGGGCATTTTCACATTGACGCCAATGCTGTGAGTTCCCAAAAGAACCTTTCAGTGAAAAGTTCAGTCTTAAACTGTGGTCACATTTAACATTGATCAGCAAATTTGCGCGAGAGAAATACAAGAATTTCAATAGCAATCAGTACATTCCCTACGCAGAATTTGGGACGGGATCAAGTTGGTCTCGTAGATTTGTCTTGTTGACCAACAGAAAGCTGTAAGTGACTTCTATGGGCGCTGTAGGCCTACATGCTTCATACAACAATACAGTATTGACAATAAACAATGGAGATTGTTTTTAAGCACAAATTCAAATTTGTGTGAAGAACATTTCAAAGAACATTTTGTTCAATTGAAAGCTCCATGGGTGTTAAAGGTTCTTCAATTAACCATAGATCCCAACAAGTGTACGATGTACTGCTGATGTAATGTTTTGGATGTTGTTCTACACCATGTGATGTTGATGTCCCCAATAATCTTCTTGAAGGGTTAGTTCACCCATGTAATTTCCAAACTAAGAAAACTGTCTCTGTGTTTTTTGTTCAAACAGCAGAGTTAAACCCCACTGACCAGCCCGTTTTCATCCCAAGGCATCATATACTGACGCTTTTGACAAAGCGTAGACAGAGATTTTGCGGGGATCTGTGACTGCGTTCACACACAATCCTTAAAGATCCCAGAAAGACACTTGACGTCAGGATAAGACGTGTAACGTACGCGTCGAAAACATGTAAACGCGCATACCGTTCCACAAAGCTGGTGAACGATCTCAGCTTCAGCACGGATGGTGAGGAGCTCTTGTTCTCTGCTTCGTTCCAGTTTGCAGACATTTGTCCGTCCTTTCTTTGTTGATGACGAACACAAACTTTCTTTTAAGAGCAACAGAGTCACGCGATGGCACGAGCGCCATGACTATGACACACTCCTTACGGCATTGGTCCTGGCTTTTGTTCACACAGCAGGTTCCCAACCCGGCATCGATGCCGGCATCAATCTCGGGTCGTGTTTGCGTTCACACAGAAGGCGTTCTGGCAATTTCCCAGCAATTTCCCGGGATCAACGCGCTGTTTGAAATGGGGCTCTAGTGATCTAACCCTTACCCTACCCCAGATCGAAACCTACCCATAACCGAAGCGTGTTAAATTGACGCTAAAGGGTGCCATGTGCGTTGGATCTATACTGGGCCGGCCGATATTATCGGCCAATATTAGGCATTTTCCAAAATATCGGTATCGGCAGTTATAATGGCCGATAAATGAATATTTAAAAAATAAAATAAAAATGGACGAAACACGCTTCAATCATCTCTCCTTGGCCTGTTATATTGAAAATGTATGTTTTACAATTTGCAGTATGATGTTATCTATTGCTAAATTATGGCTCATCATAGACTAGCAAAGCTAGCTAATGCCACTATCATCAGTGGAAGACCGCTAACGTTAACATTAATGAGCTTGGAAACCACAATGAACTTTTTCTGCCTAAATAAAGTAATGATTACTGTATTTATAACTAGCATATCTCTAGTTACAATCCCTGCATTGTAAAATGTAAGTTATACTTGCGAGGAGTGAACATTTAGACATAGAGAAAAAGTATCAAACGTATCTTGTGCAGAAAAGTTAGCTTTTCTTTTACACGTGTGTGAAATCCAACAATATTTAATAAAAATAATATCGGCCGATATATCGGAATATCGGATTTTAAAACCCCAAAATATTTGTATCAGTATCGGCCTTCAAAATCCTTTATCGGTCGGGCAGGCTCTAATGTATACGCATTGTTAAAAGCGTCACTATACGACACCCTGGGATGAGAATGCGTTGCATTGACAGTCATTATATGGACAAAAAGAGTTATTTTTTTATTCCACAACAGAAAAAAAAGGTAAAGGTTACTAGCTTAGCCAGAAAGACACCACTCTAAGAACATCCACCACACAGTTTTACACTATTGCTTTAGGGCCTGTTAAACTCTTTCCCCTCCCCCGTTTTCACTCCACTACCCCAACCGCCTGTAGATGACCGCCTGCTCAGGAAGAAGGTGTTACAGGCCAGTCCTAAGAATGCCATGACCCCGGCTTGGGGCCAAGAGGTCACGCTAAAAATGCAGGGTGTGCTAGAGGATAGGACTGTGGTGGAGAAAGACTGCAAGCTGGTCTTCGTTATCGGAGAGGGAGATGTCAACCAGGTGAGACACCACACACACATACGCACGCACAGGAAACTCTGAAACACCTGCCTGCATCTTGTCTATCACCTCGCACCTGCTGCCTTTCGAGTTTTCCATAGGGATTAACCTGTGTTTTCACATGTCGAGTTCTGTATGTGTTTACTCAAGGCAGGGAAAAAGTCACCTCCTTGCTGATTCACTTTTCAGTGGAAAGTTAGTAAGGTCAATCTTGTTTGCCAACACTGTATTGAAGACTGCAAATAAGCGTTGTTTTCTTAAGTTATCTTGTTGAGACTAAATCTATATACGTACAGTAAAATCTACACAGTATGTGTTATCTGAAGTTTAAAATGTGCCCGTTCTGCGTGTATAGGCCTTGGAGGAGTGCACCCTTTCAATGAAGCAAGGGGAGATTGCTTTACTTCTTGCAGACTCACAATACACCTATGGACTCCTGGGAAGGTAAGAGAGAAAATATACCTGTTATTGGTCCAATAATGTGCACACTACTGACTGGGTTTTGGACGAAAATACAAGCAGTTTTTTTTAAAGGTGAATTTAGGTTTGAACATTCTGTTATAAGTTTTTAAATAAGAAATTTAGGTATGGGAGGGTGGAGAGCACATCAGCTTGAAAAAGTCAAGCGGTTTCTATCTGGACAGAGTCCTTTTATACCTGTTGCTCTCAGGGCAAATGGTCCGTCCTCAGAAGCTTGTTTAATGAACCATGAACAGCAGCAGATGGCTTTCCCAAAACACCATTGAGGATGTTCAGGATCAGGAACCCCTCCCCTATCCTCTTAATTCTTTAACTATAGGCCATCATTTTGTTTAACCACTTGCTTCACTCGCTAATTTACATCGTGAGGGTGAAAACTCACTAAAATGAGAGTTTAGTTTTACTTACGTGGCTGATGTGTATCTTTTCAGAAGTAAAAAGGGAAAAACAGAGCTGTCTGAATCAGCATATTCCCTGGAATTTGTGACACATCCATCAGATGATGGCAAAACTGACCCCTTATCAGGCAGGCAACCCACATATTTGGTGATATAAATATAAAAAAAGTAGTTGGCTACTGCACAGGCAGTGAGTGACCAACATAATTATAGAAAATAATAAAGAAAAACTATATATATATATATATATATATATCCCAAAAAAAGTGTGTTTTTTATGTTTGATGATTGGAAAAGAACAGCATTTGAAACAGACATATTTAAACAATGTAGAAGTCTTTACTGTCACTTTTATTAACAAATTTAATGCTAAAAAGTATTAATTTCTTATATATATATATATATATATATATATATATACATAATATGTATTTAATTCTTTAGACATGTAGTAAATGAGGCTATTTATAAAAATACCTGCTTCATTTTCCATGTGTTTGGATTCACATGTTCACAAAGTAAATCCATGCATGTCGATAAGTGAACCGGTCATGTGTTTTTCAGAAGACGTTCCAGAATTATAGATTTTCCATTGTGAATCGCCTTCAAATCAATTGCACGGGTAACATGTGCTGTTTCCTGTTCAAAGTGCCTTAGTTCATTGCAATATGACATTTGCGCACCCACCGTCAGATTTGTGATGAGTTCAGACGATTTACTGAGATGCAGATCCCTGACTGTGATTTAGAGGGTATTTCTGGCATGAATTTACTTATTGCAGATTTAGTCAGAAGTACAAAATGACCAGAGATTACAGAGATCCTGGGGGACTGGGAGTTGGGGTCATGTTGCTGTTCTCGTATCATGATTGTGGTCTTGAGCTTTGACCTGTTTGTATGCTAACTACACAAGCGCATATGTGTGTGCGTGCAGCGCGTGAGAGGGCTCAGAAGTGATCGTTAGCTCTGGCTTGTAGCAGTGCAGACCCAAGGGCTGAAGGGACATGCTCCTGTGTGATTCTCTCTCTTTGGCCCTGTTATGAGTGGCGTCCGCAGGGAACTGTGAGAGACAGACCGATCCACAGTTAATGGTTGTTTTGATGCGACTGATTAGGACTGTGAGCGGCAAACTTAAATTTAGCCCTGGCCCAAAGGTAGACCTCACAGGATTCTTGGCAGCAGTTAAAAGGATGACAGCAAAGCCACTGTGACAACATCTCCTCCCATGGCACTGAATAGGTTCAAAGCACACACACGGATACACGCACACCTACACACCAACAATGCTTCCCTAAATGCAGCTGCGTTTAGCAAAGGTGCTAAAAGTATACACTATTAAAAATAAAAGTTCCATAAGGGGATTTTCACAACGGTGCTATAGAAGAACCATATTTGGTTAAGGATTAAAGATAAGGATTTATTGAGTCAACATGTCATGCAAACAAGAAACTATGCTTTTAAGCACAGAGTGAGAGCTGTCATTCTAACCACACAATGCTGTTTGCGAAACAATGACTCGTTAAACTATGATAATGGCGGAACTTGCGACCATTGGCTAATGATGCTTTCGGGAAACACACCCAAGGGCCGTACTGACAGAGTGGGAAGAGAGGTGCTGCAACAATGTCAAATAATGTGTTTTTTGAACATTCAAGCATGAAAACATTTTCTAGTAGACCCCAAAATCAAGACACTGAAAAAGGGCATAATATGGCTTATTTAATAATCTAATAATCTTTACTTTCAAGAGTGTATATACACTGTAAAAAAAATCATGATTTTAGATCACAATGTAAAAATGCTATGGTGAAAAACTGTTAATAGGCTAACAGAAAGTTTCTGTACTATAACCGGTGAATAACTGTGATAGCTCTAATCGTACATGCGTTTTTACAGTAAAATACGGTTAAATTTATGTTTTTGGTTTTATGTTTATGTTTTAAATTTTAATTTACAGTGAAAAAACTTTGTGTTAATTCGCGCGTCAAAAGTGAAACTGATGCGTGGAAAATCAAAAGTTGAAGCGAAATTTACGCGCATCTCTCGCATCAGAATCGAAATCCGTTGGCGGCCATCTTTTTTTATGTTGATCGGGCAAAATAGGACGTGCTTCATTGAGAGATTCACCTCACTGTATTTGCTCTGGAGAGCTAGAACAGTGGCGTGGGGATCATCGTCAACGAATTGAACTCGGGCGGCAGGCGCGAATTCACGCCAAACGCGTGAGTGTACAAATAGTACTAACTAAATCATTCGCGCTTAACGCGGCAGACGCTCAATTCGCGCGAACGAGGCGTATTCGTGTATACCGTGCCTCGCTCTATGCCTCATTCGCGCCGCAGGAATTTTTTACTCGAGAAACACGTCTTTGCATTGACTTAACGTTGAAATCATTCACGCCTAACGCGCTATTCGCGTCCGGTGTGAATGTAGCATTACAAAGATACAAAACAGATATTAGTACTTCAATAAATTGGTAAATAAACATTATGTCAGATAATAAAATACTTGTAAATTTAAGTTAAACCTGTAAAACGTAAAATGTTGCTACCGTATTTTTTTTTACGGCCAATTTCTGCCAACCTAAGCTGTCAGGTTTTTTTACCGTAAATTTCACAGAATTTCTTTTACAGTTTAGACTTGAACTGCCCAATACTTTAAAAAAGTGAACAGGATAATACAAACAGGGCTGTTAGATATTTCAGAACTGAGCATGATAAAGGCTTCTTTGACAAAGAATTCACAAAAAAAAAAAAAACATCACCTCCAACATGTTTTCGTTTTTGACAACTGTGACGGCTTGTCAAAGTGGCAGTACGGCAGATGGAGGGAGAGGGAAGTAGCTGAGAGGAAGCAACTGAGGTAAGAAGTGAAAAAAGAGAAAGAGTTAAAAGGATCATGAGAAAAAAAATCTCATTTAGTTTCTCTCCAGTGGCTGTGGCACGTATTGACTGAGCCCTGTCGGTAGCCTGTTACAGACAGCGCCGTCTCCACCAAGAGCACTTCACAGCTTTTTGTTGGAGCCGACGGCAGGCAGACTGATTCAACTGACTGTGATTGGAGTCACAGTGTTGTGTAGAAGAGTGCTTTTTCTTTCCATCTCTAATGCATGCATCAGTGGCTTATTAGTTATGGAACAGCAGGTGACTATTTTCTCATTAATGGAGATGGATCAAGGTTAAAGCACACCCATGTCGATCTCCCGAAGAAAAGCACATTAGAGAAAGCAAGTGACTCTGATCACATCTCAATGTTGCTTTGGCCAGATCAAAATATTGCAGATAGTTTCCAAATGTGTGAGGACATTTAGTCACTGACCTGTAGGCATACAAATAAAAAGTATATCTGAAGCTTTTTAACAAATACCAAAATCAACAATATTATACACATACACAAAAAAAAATTAAAATAATAATAAGATAAAAGTGTTGTTATTGTTAACTAAAACTATTAAAAATAGTTTTCAGTAATTGAAATTAAGCTGAAATAAAATTGAATATTAAAGCTGCAAGCAGCGATGGGCGGGCCCTCGCACCTGTAGCACGTCGGGGTCTGAGGCGGCCGCGTTTCATTTTCTGCAGCTCAGCCAGTGCGGCTGTGCATTTACCACACTGCTTCGTTAAAGGCCACTTCCTGTTGCCAGCAGGTGACGCTATGACTGTGGGTGAATGTCGGCATGTAGATTTGATCAGGGCGGGACTCTTGTCAAATGTGTTAAATTTCGTGCAGATCTGGGCATTTACAGCCAAGTTACTACAACTTCCTGTTTCATGGCGAATCATCGACGCCACGGACACGCCCATCGACGAAAACGCGCAGATAGCACAACTTTACATCGTCAATGCCTTTAGAAGGTACAGCAGAAATTTTAAGTTGATCCGACTAAATCCCTAGGAGGAGTTCGTTAAAGTACGGAGTCTGTAAATCGTCCCAAATCGGTCGCCAAATTGAAAATGGCGGACTTCCTGTCGAGTTTAGGGTATGGGTTCTTGAGGCTTTTTTGTGCGTCTGGTCATGGTAGATGTACCACAGAAATTTCGTACATGTCGGTCAAACAAGCGGCGGGGGCTGCTTCGTTAAAGGCCACTTCCTGTTGCCAGCAGGTGGCGCTATGACTGTGGGTGAATGTCGGCATGTAGATTTGTTCAGGGCGGGACTCTTGTCAAATGTGTAAAATTTCGTGCAGATCTGGGCATTTACAGCCAAGTTACTACAACTTCCTGTTTCATGGCGAATCTTCGACGCCACGGACACGCCCATCGACGAAAACGCGCAGATAGCACAACTTTACATCGTCAATGCCTTTAGAAGGCACAGCAGAAATTTTAAGTCGATCCGACTAAATCCCTAGGAGGAGTTCGTTAAAGTACGGAGTCTGTAAATCGTCCAAAAATGGCCGCCAAATTCAAAATGGCGGACCTCCTGTCGAGTTTAGGGTATGGGTTCTTGAGGCTTTTTTGTGCGTCTTGATATGATACACGTCCCCACCAAATTTCGTGCATGTAGGTTGAACGTGGACGAGGGGCTAATTTTTTCCAATTTTCTAGGTGGCGCTAGCGTGCCATTT